AGCTCTGTCCAGGGGTATATATTGGTCCACCTGGTCTGCTAAACCAAGGGGATCTTATAATAGTGGCTTCATCTGTCTCTTTTTTTTTTAAATTCCCCACTTCGGTGCTAGTGGGAGGAGCATTGAAGAAGCCAATTTCTCCCTGCCCTCGCGGGGCTTCTCTCAATGGGAACATTTTAGGAGCTCCCGGTTGACCTCGCGGAGGGAAGGGGGTCGTCGTTTTCTAGATCCGTTGTGCACTGTTCCCATTTCCTCCTGAAATTCGGACAGGAGGCTGCGGGAGCCAAAGGCCCCCGGCCCTCGGACGGGCCTGCATCCTGTCTTGCCCTCCCGCCCCTGCTCTTCTTGAGCTCCAGCCGGAGGGCTACATGGGGGAGGAAGACAGGAGCGAGGGCCCCCGGGCCTCTCTGTTGCAGCGTCTGGGGGCTGGCTCTCTTCCCCTCCTTAGCATTCTCTGCTTTGGTATTAAGGGGAAACATTGAAAAAGCCCTTGGAACCGGCAGGGGCCGTGATCCCTTTCCCCCGCCGTCCTGCAGGTTTTACCATCCGCGGAGGACCAGCCCCCCGCAAAGGCAGCCTTCATTCGGGCCGCACTGCGGTCGGAAAACTGATGGCCGACGGATCGTTTCTTTGGTCCAGACGAAAACAACAGAACTTCATCATCGTCTGTCTGTCCCATCCCCGGTGTCGGAGCGGCCCCCGGGACACTAACATTCGCCCCGCGGGGCTGTCGGGGAAACCAAGGACGCTGTTCTTGTTCCCCTTCCCGGTTCCCCTACGCCCAGCATCTCTATTTCCCGTCTTTCAGGAGGTCCCGGTGCACTCGACCCCCGGGATCACGGAGGTTTCTTGCTCCGCCCGCCTCCGGCCGGTTCCCTCGCGGAGACTGGGGCCCCATACCCGGGCCCTCCAACAGACGCCCGGCCACCGAGGCAGCACGCACAGCCCAGTTTTCCTACCTTGGCCGGCGCACGAGGTGGCCCTGCTGCCGCGGCGCCTGCGTGTCCTCCGCGCGCGCGCGGGTCAGGCGGTCCCCGCACTCCAGTCCCGTCCGCGCTCGGGTGGCGCGCGCAGGTCGGGCGGGACGCGTCGTCCCACTGCGCTCGGTCCCCCGCGCACGGGCCAGAGGGTCCCGAGCGAGCCCCGAGACGGCCCGAGCTCAGTAGGTGGACACCGGGACAGAGAAGAGGGCGGGGCGAGGCCCTCCCGGTGGCCCTGCGGCGGGCGGGGCCTGGGAGCGCGCGCGCCCCGGGCGTGCCAACCAGCGGCTCCTTCCCGGGCGCCGGGTCCCGCCCCTGCCTCCTCATTGGCTGATTCCTGCAGGGCTCATCCTTCCCCGTCGTTGCCTGAGCAAGTTTATATCCCTGATAGGCTTTCTCCTACATTTGTCTTAATTGTATTGGCTGGTTCAAAAGTTTTTCTGCATTTTCCTTTAGTGCCGCACAGCCACCAGCTCTTTCTTAGTCTCCCCCCCACAACTCCCGGCCGGAGGGACCCCCTGGTACACGTTCTGACATGCGGGCTTCTTGGCAAAATACCGTTTTGTTTCAACGTTAATTCCTCTGGAAATAAATCACATTTAGTTCTTTGCCATTTCCACCAAGGCTGTCCTTCCTCTTTAAGGCCGAGTAATATTCCTGTGTGCGGATGGAAGCATTGTGTGTACGCATTCATGTGTTGATGAATTTTTGATTCCACCCTTTGTCTATTGTGGACAGTGCTGCTGTGAACGCGGGTGGGCAAGTATCTGAAATCGCGGCTTTTGATTTCTCGTGCAGATTCCCCCCAGCAGAATTACCAGGTTATAGGTTTATGCTGTATGTTCAACTTTCTGAAGAACCGCTAAACTGTTTTCCATAGCGGCTGCACCATTTTACATCCCTACCTGTATGTCTTTTCTTATCTTGAGAGATTAAAAAGAAGCAGAAAAACACATTGAACAGATTCATTTTTTAGATGCACAAAATCTAGGCATTGCTTTTGACAGATACAAATTAAAGACCATCGTTTCAACAACAACAAAAAATCAAAACACGGTCTTCTAAGAGTAGCTTGAGTGGGACTTCCGGGGATGGAGAGATGTGTATAACCAAAGCGCAAATTAATCTTGAGTTTTTACTTACAAAAGAAAAACGAAAGTGACTGACTGTGAACAAAATGGTTTCCTGAATTTTTAGCAGGAATAGATCCGGACGTCAGGGGTACTTTGCAAACTAAGGGGGGCAGCGCACTGGGGCGGACCCTCCCACGGGGTTGAGGAGCAAAGTAGCTGCAAGACCAGGAGGAAGGCTGTTTCCTCTAACCACCCTCTCCCAGGGGAGCCCTTTGACAGAACTTGGGGAATTCCTTGGGTCCTGCAGAAAGAGAGCACAGAGGAAAAAAAAAAGCAAGTTGACAGTTTTTTCCCCTTCAGGGATTTATTTTTATTTTCATTTTTTTCCCGTCCTAAGCTCCTTTATTTTATTTATTAAGGGATCATTGATATACAATCTTACGAAGGTTTCACATGAGCAACATGGTGGCTACTACATTCACCCATATCATCAAGTCCCCGTCCCCCACCCCCACTGTCCATCAGCGAACCGAGATGCTTCTCGGTGCTGTACTTGCTCGGGGCCCTTTTAGACCTGAATTTTCCCCTTACTTAGCAGCGGGGTTAAACCACACTCTTCCAACGTCTGCGCTGTGGGCATTTGGGGCCTGTTTTGTTTGGGGTCCATGCTGGACACTGGAGGACCGCCAGGTTCTGCTGCCATCTGCTGCCAGGTGCGTCCCCTGTAGCAACCAGCACAAATGTTCCCAGACATCGCCCAGCGTCCCCTGGGGGCGGGGGCCCACAGCCCCGGGCTGAGAAACACTGGGTGAAACCGGTTTAACTAGACCGAATCACTGATCTGCTCATCAATTTAGCCTGATTGGCCAGGAGAGACCCTTCGCCGACAGCACAGCCCCGAGGGCCCGGCCGCAGCCCAGCCTTGGAAGGTGACTCCACCCACGTGTGCGGGGACAGCCTCTCCGGAGCCACGCGGCAGCAGCCGACCGCGCTCTGGGAGTGACTGCAACGGGCGTCGGGCGCGCCTCAGCCTCCCCGCTCCGCCGACTTCCCAGAGGACGCCTCAGGCCCGACTCTGCGCAGCGGCCCCGATAGGTCTCGAACCCACGACCGAGCTCCGGCGCCGCGCTCGGGCTGGTCACGCGCTCGGCGTTCGGCAGAGGGGCGGGGCGAGGCGACCTCGAGGCGGCCTCCTGGGGCTTGTAGTCCTGGCCCTGCCTCCGCCGCGCGCCAACCCAGCCCCTGGAACTACGCTCCCGTCGTGCCCCTCGGCGGCGGAGGCGGAGGCGGGGCGGTCGGTCGGTTGCTAAGCCTGAGGGAAGCGCTACGCTCGCGCCTGGCTCCTCAGGTAAAGGCGCGGCGCGCGTCGTGGGCGCTCGCGGCTCAGGCTCCCCGGGAGGTAGGGAGGGAGGATGGCGACGGGGGTCCCGGCTACAAAGCGGGGATGCCGACCCGCCTCGCCAGGGGTGAGGGGGCGCCTCGGCGGGCGGGGTCCGCGGCGCGTGTGCGCGTGCGCGCCGGATCACCGGCGACCCCCGCGGCTCGCGCCCGTCGCCCTAGTGCGCGTGCTCCTGCGGCCTTCGGCGGAGGCCCCGTGCGCCGGCCGCTTCCGGTGCGCCCTGGCCCAGGGCCATCGCGGGCAGCCCACTGCCCCCGGGCCGCGCCCGCTGCAGCGTGGGCAGGTTCAGCAAGTCAAATGCAGGACGCCCCGTTAAGTTCGAGTTCTATATAGAAAACGAAAAAACTTTGTGTGTTTTAGCATGAATACATCCCAAAGATTGCTTGGAACACCCCAAACATAATCAGCGCTCACCGGAAATCCGAACTGAAAGGGGCGTCCTGCGTGTTACCTGGAGGCCCCAGGTTACTCCACTGCGGATCTTGATAGAAAAGATTTCTAACTCTTCTGGGGGGACCATCCTCACCCTCCCTGATTGTGGGTGTCCCCGCTCTGCCACTGGCTGCCCCTCTTCCTGAGGGCTCACTACCCTGTTGCCTTCTAGGCCCAGCAGCTGCGGATCATTGCCTCCAAGTAGCCCTCCTGGACTGCACCCACACAGTCAGGGCCCTGGTCCCCTCCACTGAGTAGCTGTGGTGGTGCTTCCCCGCTTTGAATGGATTTTCTTGCTTTCTGTCCCTGGGGGGTGCTGATGGAGTCCCGTTCTACAGAAGGGGCCGCTGGAGGCGGGGGTTAGGGCGCTTGGTATCTCACAACCAGGAAAGTACCGGCTGGGTTGGTGGGGAGGACAGAGCCAGGACACAGACACACCTTGGCCCAGCCTCTTGCCTTCCCAGTCCTGTGTTAACGACTTGCCCGGTGGCTCTCACTATGTCGCCTGCAGAGCTTGGCCGGGCTCACTGAATAAGCGCCATTTCCCATCTCCCCACCAGCAGCAGCTGGAGTCCACTCCTGCAGGGGCCCCAGGCCACAGCCTCTTGTTGCTGCTGGCTGCCCATTGTCTTCGGTGGGGTGTGTGGTGGGGCAGGTGATCCTGAGTGGCCAGAGGGGACCTGCTGTTGGGTGTCTCGTGTCCTTGGTCCACCAGACCCTTCAGCAGCTGCTGCCCAAGTCGGGGTCACATTCTGAGGAGTCTGTGGCTGCCCCCTGGAGCTGCACCAAGGAAGGGACTGAGCCGGGCAGGGTCAGCAGAGAGTGCGTGCAGGGGCATAGGGGCAGCCGGGCACCCGGAGCTGGGGGCTGATGGGGGCTTGGAGGAACCAAAAGGGGAACCCCAGGCAGCAGCTGCCTCCGGCCATGCTTCAGGTCTCCAGACGCATCGCAGCAGAACTTGGAGTTGTGCGTGCTGTTTGCAGGTGGCCTGGTGCTCCCAGGTGGGGTTGGGGGCGTTGAGCGGGTCCTCTGCTGTAAAACCGTGTTTTTCTCGGTCTTGTGGGGGATTGGGAAGGCAGAGTCGGTGAGCTGTTGAATGCTGGCTTCTGGGGACGGCAGCTAGGTCAGGTCCCAGCCACGTCACTGGGGCAAGTCCCTCTACCTCAGGGAGCCTTGTCCAGCAGAGAGGGGACGTCCCATGAGCTCTTCTGGGGTCACAGGAGGAGTGGGGGAGCCCATCTGCGGGGAAATTTAGGACACTTGCTGGTTTTGGTGCCAGCAGCTGTCATCAGGGCTTGATCTAGTTCCAGAACATTCCATCTCCTCAAAAAGAAGACCCTCCCCCCCGAGCAGCCAAGCCCTCTCCCTCAGCCCCTACAAGCCCACATTGCGTCTGTGGATTCATCTGCTGTGAATGTGTCGTGGAAATGGGGTCACACACCACGTGGCCTTGTGTGTCTGGCGTCTCACTGAGCACCGTGTCCAGGATCCATCCTTGTGTAGCATGGGGTAGAACTCCACTGCTTTTCATGGCTGTGTGATGTTCCGTGTGCGGATGGACACTTGTGTCCATTCATCTGCTGGCAGTGGACACCTGGGCCATGTCTCCCCTTTGGCTGCCATGCATCCTGCTGCCGTGGACACTTGTGCACAGACTTCTGTGTGGATGTGTGTTTTGGTTCTGGGCGCATACCTAGGAGTGGAGTTACTGGGTACGTGGTGAGTGTCCCGTGGCATATCTGTACTCTGGGGAGTGGGCAGCCCGCACAGCAGTGTCCTGACGACAGCCTCTCTCACTGGTTGCTTGTTTTAATCAGACAACGGTTGTACTCTTGGAGGGACAAACGAGACTGTGTCTGTCTTGTCCTGGAGACAGTGGAAGCTTTTGTGGCCCACTGTGGGCTCCTGGGCTTGGTGTGCACCGGCAGTGGGTTCAGAGTCCGTGCCAAGGAGCCTTCCAGGGCTCTGCCTGGCACAGGCATCTTAGCTGCACGGGGCCCCTCCAGGCGCGCTGCCTCCTGTATCCTCCACCAGTACCCCGCTTCTGTACCCTGGCCAGACTCGTACCGAGAGCTTAGGGCCCATCGTGGTGGGTGATGACCTCACGTGCCCTCCAAAGGGCCTGGCTGATAAGGCGGGTGCATCACAAACAGTAAAGGCCCACAGTTGTTAAATGATTGTGGTATGTCCCTGTGCACAGGGCAGCTGGCACCAGTGCCTGAGAGCCCCTGGATTTGCGCCAAGTGATCGGTACTTATTTGTGAAGTGATGCTAGGCAGTGCTGGGCAGTAGGAACACAATGAGCACATGCGTAATGTCCTTCAGAAGCCACGTTAAAGAGTATGAAGAAATCGGCGGCATCAATACATTTACCTAACCAGAAACATGTAAACTGTTATCATTTCAACACGTGGTCAACGTTAGGAAAGTTAACGAGAAAGTTCACATTGTCGTGGATTAAGTCTCCAATATTCAGCGTGTACTGTTGTTCACAGCACACCTTTCAAAGGGGGGAGATATCAGAGGCTGGTTAAGCTCCGTGCAAACCGGGAGTCGGTAGAATGTGAGTGAGAGCAGGACCAGTGACGTGGTCCTTGGGCTGGAGCCCGCGGACAAGCCTTGAGATGCGGCATGCTCCCAGGATGGACTTCGGCTCGCCAGGCCTCCTGCGGCTGACAGATGACGCTCTGCTCCGATCTCTGTCTCCACAGTCGGAGCCCCGCCGAGAGGATGGACCCCAGCCTGGGCACCCTGGAGAAGCCTGGGGACGAGGACGGGAAGGCCGAGGGGGCCGGGAGCCCAGAGCGGGGGCCCGCGCCCTGGCAAGCTCTCCCCGTCCTGTCTGAACGGCAGTCTGGGGACGTGGAGCTGGTTCTGGCCTATGCCGCCCCCATCCTCGACCAGCGCCAGACCTCACGCCTCCTCAAGGAGGTGGCGGCTGTCCACCCGCTGCCCGCCCAGCCTCACCTCAAGAGAGTGCGGCCAAGCCGTGACGCCAGCTGCCCTCACACACTGGAGATTCTGCTGTGCCTGGCAGGGCCGGCTGCAGGCGCACGATCGCTGGCCGACCTCCTCCCGCAGCCGGCCGTGGATCCCTGTGGCTTGGGCCCACCCTTCCTAGTGCCTGTGCCTGCCTGGCCACCGCTGACCAGGCGCCAGTTTGAGAAGGCACGGGCCCACTGGCCCACGTCCTTCCATGAGGACAGGCAGGTGGCCCGTGCTCTGGCTGGGTGCCTCTTCTCAGCACAGGAGCGGGCTGCCATGCAGGGCTACATGGAGCGGGCCTTGTGGGCCGCACGGCAGGCAGCCGCCAGGGGCCTGAGGGCCATGGGGGCCGTGGTGGTGGACCCGGCTGCAGGCCACGTGCTGGCCATGGGCCACGACTGCAGTAGTTCAGCCAGCCCCCTGCTGCACGCCACTATGGTGTGCATTGACCTGGTGGCCCAGGGCCAGGGCCGCGGTGCCTATAACCTCAGGCGCCACCCCGCCTGCTCCTTTGCCCCGGCCACCACCCCCCAGGCTGCACGGGCTGGCTCCGTGCGCAAGCTGGACGCAGACGCGGACACAGGCGTGGATGGCCTCCCCTACGTGTGCACTGGCTATGACCTCTACATCACCCGTGAGCCCTGTACCATGTGCGCCATGGCCCTGGTGCATTCGCGCGTGCAGCGTGTCTTCTATGGGGCGCCTTCGCCTGATGGTGCCCTGGGGACCCGCTTCCGTGTCCACGCCCGGCCCGACCTCAACCACCGCTTCCAGGTGTTCCACGGTGTGCTGGAGGCCCAGTGCCGCCAGCTGGACCCCTGTGCCTAGGCGCCCGCAGACGGCCTCCTCGGCCTCCTGTCAGATGCCGTCCCTGGCAAGAAGACCCGGGCTGTGGACTTCAGAGAGACGCACACCCCAGCTGTGCGTCTGCCCAGACCCAGCTTTCACTGGGCTCGAGCGCAGCAGGCACCTCGCAGCCAGGCCCCTGGGCCTTGCTCTTCTGCTACTTTCAGCCCTGAGCCCACAGGTCCACCGGGATCATGTCCCTTTTGTCTCAGGTGTTAGAAAGCGGTTCTGATGTGAAAATAAACAACCCCAGAACCAGGCTGGTGTCTGTTGATGGGATGGGGCCACCAGCACCGAGGGCCTGGGTTCATACAGGGGGAGGAGCCTTCTGAGCACAGCGTGAAGCGGGCCTGCTGGGCACCGGCCTGCCTGCGCCCTGGGTCCAGCGGGATGTGACTGGCCAGGGTGCATCCACTCCGGGGCATACACACCCCGCACTCCCTAGCCTGGATGCCAGGCCATTCCGCCTCCTGTCCCATGCAGGGGCCTGTGGGTCTTCCGCGGAGCAGTTAGCCCTAGGACCCGCTGCGTCTGTCCACCCAGCAGGTGTGCATCCCTCTGACTGCGCAGGCTGTCCCTGGCCCCAGCCCCCAGCCCAGGGCCATGCTGGGAGCCAGCCAGGAGCCCTGCGGGCTGGCAGGGAGGGAGAGCCAGGCTGGGCCAGGGTGAGGTCCAGGCGGAGCCTTCCCTCGGCTACGGGGTAGACCCTGGGAGCTCCGTGTCCCTGCAGCCTTGTCTCCTGGGCTGCGGGTGAGAAACTCGCTGGGCTTCACACCCCAGGCCGGCCTCTGGGCTCGGTTCCTGCACCCAGCTGGGGCCAGGTGCTGGCAGCGAGGGCTAGCGGGGCCCTGAGGCCCAGGTGAGCGCCAGCATGGCCACGCCAGCCAGGCCTGGCCCCTGAAGGTGCGCCACCCGCCTGCGGGCCTGCAGGAGCGCTGCTTCTGCTCAGCTGTGCGCCTCGGTGGCAGCCTGGTGCATGGGCTGCCCTGTGACACGAGCTCCCGCAGCTCCTTCAGAAGGGCCAGTAGGTTTCAGGCCCATCCTGGGAGCCCACATTGGGCTGTGATGGGGCATCAGGCCTGTAATGCTTGGGGTGCAGACCCCAGAGAAGAGAAGAGGGGTTGTGGGAGCTGGGACCCACTCCTTGGGGGCGTGGGAGTCAGATCCTGCGCCCTAAGGTGGCAGTGCTCAGAGCCACCCGTGGATAACGGGGACGTTTTGGGGGTGGGGGAGGACAGGAAGATGGAAGGGCCATGGGAGCGGGTCCCCAGGATCCCAGGAACAGCTGAGCTTCAAGGGGGCTACCGCCTGACCCTTCCCCTCCCGCCAGCCCTGACACTGCCCAGGGCCCTTTGCAGGGAGGGGCCACACACCCTGGCTGGGCTTTGGGGTGACCCCACCGTGGACGAGCCGGTGGCAAGGACCGTCTGTGGTGGCTGCCTGGGTGCCCAGCTGGCATTGGGGTCATCCAGTGGCTGCGGGGACCCCCTGACTGTGGCTGTCTCCCCTCCAGGTGGCTGCAGGCTTCTGTCTTCATACAGTCATCACAGCAGAAATGTCAGGTGAGTCCTGTGGGGGCCCTGCAGTAGGAGTTTTTGGCTGTTCTGTCCCTCTGGGAAGTGTCCCCTAGTGGCCCAATCCACTACCAACTCCTGAGGGCACACCTCCCATGGTGACACTGAGCCAGATGACAGGGAGATGCTATCTCCACCCCTGCCCTTGGCACCAACCTGCCATTGTCATGGTGAGTGTCCGGCCAGGCCTCCTGTCCAGGCTGGGAGGCATTCTGTGGTTGACACAGTGAGTGTGAGGTTCGGGCACCTAGCGTTGCGTCTGCGCACTTGAGATGATATCCTTACCCGGAAAGAGGCAGGCAGCCGGTGGCAAAGGGCCTGAGGGGCTGCCCACCCCATCCTGCTCGGAGACGGGATGCCTGGGCTGCAGGGGCTGCAAGGCAGGCTCTCGGGGCAGCGGGAGTGCGTGCTGGCACTTCGTGTGAGGTTACCCTGTGTCTCTGCCCTGAGGCAGCGGGCTGAGGGCTGCTGCTTGGGGGCACAGTAGGATTTGAACCCAGGCTCCCGTTCCCAAGTCCTCACGGAACAGTGTGCCAACAACAGAGGGTCTCACAGGGTGGGCAGTTGGTGCCTCTTTCCTGCCACGGCACAAGCTGGCAGGCCTGAGTGCTGGAGTGGTGGTCCTGTCCTGGCCGCAGGTGACAGGGACGTGGGGTCCTGCATCTGGCGAAGACGGCTGCCGGTGGCCGAGGGAGCAGTAGGATGGGGCTGAGAGCCGAGAGGCCCAGAGTGGGCGGCTCAGGCCCCTCCCTGACCTCCCGCGTCCCTGGGTAGATGCCTGAGGCTTCTCAGTGGCTGACACCTGCCCCCAAGCACTAGGCTCCTTTCTTCACAGCTTCCCGTCTCTCTGACCCTGACGCCCCTGTGCTCCTCCTCGGGACCCTCGTGAGGACCCTGGGCCCCGGGGAACCCGGTGCCACCTCCATCTCAGGGGCCTGGACTAATCCCCTGTGCGGGGTCCCTCTGCTACGTGAGGTGACATGTCCTCGGGTCCCAGGGCCAGACTGGGGACATTTCAGATGAGACAGCCTCACAGCCTGGCTCTGAGCACTGGTTCCCCGTCCTGCAGGGAAGGAGAACAACTTCCCTCCACTGCCGCGCTTCCTGCCTCTGAAGCCCTGCTTCTACCAGAACTTCTCTGACGAGGTCCCCATCGAGCACCAGGTTCTGGTGAAGAGGATCTACCGGCTGTGGCTGTGTGAGCTGGCGGGCGGCGGGGCGGCCTCACTGCCCTCCAGAGACCCAGGCCCAGGGCAGGGCCAGGCTTCGAAGCCGCCCCTCTGGTGGTGGGAGCCTGAGGGTTTTGTAATGAATCTTGTCTTCCCAACAAAGTTCTGTCCCGGGGGCACCACAGTGCAGTGGATGGAGCAGCTGGGGTGGCTGGGTGGGAGGCCCCGGCCCCTGAGCCCTCCCGGCAGCTGGAGGGGTCCCGACTCACCCTCCTCACCCTCCACCCAGTCTACTGCGCCACCCTGGGGGTCAACCTTGTCGCCTGCCTGGCCTGGTGGATCGCTGGTGGCTCAGGGGCCAACTTCGGCCTGGCCTTAGTCTGGCTTCTGCTCTTCTCCCCCTGCGGCTACGTGTGCTGGTTCCGGCCCGCATACAAGGCCTTCCGGTGAGTCGGGATGCAGGGTCCATACCCTTGAGGGGCCTCAGGGGATGTATGGAGCTGACAGTCGGCTCAGAGTTCCCAGGATGCCACCGTGTGCATGCTTAGCTTGTGTCCTGGCCCAGTGTCAGTAACTCCCTGTCCCTCGTCCCATCTGGCTGATCACTTAGGCCAGGGGCCTTCAGACTGGCCTGCTTTGCTTTTTGGTGACATTCCTGAGGTGCACGTCACTGAGCAAGCAGCCCGGTGGTTCTGGTGTTTCTGTAGGGTTGTAGGAACACCACCTCTAATTTAGAACATTCCGTAGCCTCTTCCCCTTAGCAGTCACCCCCCATAGTCACCTTCTGCATCCCCTACTCCCGGCACCCATGGGCCCATGTCCTGTCTGTGGATTTGCCTGTTGGGGATGTGTCACAGAAATGGTGACACACGCCGTGTGGTGTTGCTTGTGTGGCGTCCCACTGAGCACCGTGTCGAGGTCTGTGCATGTGTGGTGTGTGTCAGGGCTCTGTCCCGTTCGTGGCAGCGTGATGGTCCATGTGTGGGTGGACAAGTGTGCCCATCCGGCTGCTGGTGGACATTTAGGTGATCCCCCCTCTTGGCTGTAGAATCGTGCTGCTGTGGACACCCACCCCAAGTGGCCCGCTGCTGCTTGGGTGTGCCATGCTGCCCCTCAGTGGTCCCTGAATCCCAGGCTCGCCGTGAGTCAGAAAGGGCCTCTGAGGCCCTTCTTGGAGACGAGGACTGGAAACCGCCCCACATTGGCTGAAGCCGTGAGGGGCTTTTAATTGAGGTCCTGAGTGGGCTCAGCAGCCCCTGAAGCCCTGCCCCCCCGCCCCATTGGGGGCCCCGTGCCTATCCTCCCTTCACTGAGTGGGAGGGGCCTGGGCGAGGCTCCTGAGCAGCCGCCCGCAGCCTCGGGGCAGTGGCATAAAGGGTCAAGTGTGGGGAGCGTGTTGAGGGTGGGACACGCTGCCTCCCCCAGTTCGCTCACCCCCATAACCGCGCGGCAGCTGGCGGAGCCCCCGGCAGCAGGGCCGCCAGAAGCACCACAGCCTGAGCTCCTTGCCTGAAGGAAGCTGTCGGGGTGCGGCGTCCTTCCAGGGGAGCTGTGTTGGGGCCCCTTGGGTCGGAACCTGGGCTGGGCGTGTGTGCTGGCTCCGAAAGGCATCCCGCTCCCCTCCCAGCCCTGCGCCTCCTCTCGGTGTCGCCTGCTGGGGCCCTGCAGTGACAGCTGTGTTCTCTCTCCCGCCCAGAGCCGACAGCTCCTTTAACTTCATGGTGTTTTTCTTCGTCTTTGGCGCCCAGTTTGTCTTGACAGTCATCCAGGCAGTCGGCCTCTCAGGATGGGGCGCGTGGTAAGCCGGGGCCTTGGGAGGCTGGTCCGTCAGTGCTGCCCGTGGGCATGGGTTGGTACGTGTCGGCACAGGCAGTGTGACGGCCAAAATTGAATACAAGCTTGTTCCTCACTCTCAAACATTCCCCAGAGGTGCCGGGTCGTGGGGTGGGGGCGGAGGCCCGGGTGCTGGGGGTTCTGCCTGTGTTCTCCTGGTTGACGTGGCCACCGGCCACGGTGAGGGTGGGGAAAGCACGGCAGTGATGTGTCTCAGGAGGAGGGGTTCCGAGACCAGCTGGAGGGCCTGCCCTGAACACCTGCCCGTGGCCCTGCCATCCGGCGGGATCAGGCTCCTGTCCACTTCTAAGGTGTCACACAAGGATCCTGTGGCTGCTGTGACTCCCACCTTAGTGACTGAAAACAAACCTATCTCGCGGTTCTGGGGTCAGAGGTCTGACTCGGTTCTCACGGGGCTAAATCCCGGCGGGCAGTGCCAGCTCCTCCGGGGGCTCTGGGAGAACCGTGTCCCCCTCTTCCAGCTTCTAGAGGTGCCGCAGTCTCACCTCGGGGCCCCTCCTCCATCTGCAAGGCTGGCAGGGCCACGCCTTCCCATCTCTCTGACCCTGAGCTCCTGCCCCTCCACTCCCCTCATAGGGACCCTCGTGAGGAGCCTGGGCCCCGGGACCCCAGCGTCACCCCCATCTCAGGGGCCTTGACTGATCCCCCTGCAGGGTCCCTCTGCCTGCCATGCTCTCCAGTCTACCTCGTGCAGCCGGTTTGGGGTGCCCCGTGCCCTCATTTCAGTGGCTTCCATTGCTGTCCCTCTCCCCTCTGTCCATTGGGGAGCTGCGGACCCCTGTCCTTGTCCCTCACGAGCTGCGTTCTCTCGCTGCAGGATGCCTGTGGGCTTCCTGGCCTTTGAGCCGCTCTTGCAGCTCCGTCCCCTGCCCGACCCCTCGTGTGTCCCCTGCCCGACCCTCCTGTGTCCCCTGCCTGACCCTCCTGTGTCCCCTGCCGTCCCCCTCTGGCTGAGTCTCCAAATCTGCTTCTTCCCCGGCTGTTTCTGGAGCTTGTCTCTGCACCTTCCTGCCTGGGGCTGCCACTGTACGGGGAGCAGATGAGCTCAGCGGGAGCCTGAACGTTGGTTCCCCAGGCCTGCGCCCTCCTGAGTGGTGTCTAGAGGGTCCCTGAGGTGCTGTCTTGGGGCCCCCAGGAGCACCCCAGGAGCACCCCAGGGACAGGATTCTCCGGGAGGACTCCGGGCCTCAGTGTACGGCGGTCCTCAGGGCTGTGGTTTATACCGGGAAAGAACAGGAGGCAAATGAGCCCAGGCGGGGGGCCCAGGTCCCACAGGACCTGAGGGCACGTGAGGGGGTCCCTGGGGGCGCACAAGGGGTTTCCAGGGGGACCAGGGCCCAGAGTAAACGTGTCTGTACAGACAGACCGGGGCACAAGCCCCCAGCGTCGTTCCTTGCAGGCCACCCTTGTCGGGGATGTGGCCTCAGGCCTGCCCCACGAGCTCTCTCCTGCCCGGTGCCCCCTGGCTACCCCGGTCTCCATAGTGGTCAGGGACTGTGGGCCTTCCCCCAGCTGGAAGGAGGGGAACTTGAGGCCGAGCAGGCTGTAACACAGCTGCCCCACCAGCTGGTGGCCTTGGGCCAGGGGTGGTTCAGAAGGGGTTTCATCTCTGTAAGGCTGTGGGGGTGGGGCCTGATCCCTGCCCCCCATGCGGGTGCTCCTGCTGGGGTGCCACCCACCCACCCTGCAGATGAGGACTCGGCCCATGCAGCCCAGATGGGGTGGGGTTGGGGTGAGGTGGGTGGAGGGATCGCTGGGCCCTAGGCCTCCTGGGCTGGGAGCTGGGAGTCAGGGTGCTGCATTCGCCCGTGCAGTCCAGCCCAGGGCTCCCCCGACCACCCTCAGGGCCCCGGGTGCTGCTGGGCCCCAGCTCAGCACAGGGGTGGGCTCCCACATGGGTGGGCCTCCTGGGTTGAGAGCAGGAACAGGTTTTCTTCCCGCATAGACTGGTCATTGTGCCCCGACACTGGCTCCCAGCCCTGTGTCCTATGGATCTGTTGCTGCAGATACTCAGCGTCTCCTGGGGAGACGCTGCCTTGTGCCTCCGAGGGAAGAGGGCCTTCGTGTGTCTGGCGGGGAACCACGGCACTCCCACCCAGACAGCCACGGGGATTCCCCACTGTCCGCATCTCCCTGACCAGGCTGCGTTGGGCTGCTCTGGGGTGTGAGCGAGCTGCGGGGAGGACACAGCGCCACAGCCACCTGGGCCCCGTGCTTGCCAGAGGCGTGCGCGGAGCAGCGTCCCGGCCACAGGCTAAATTGAATACAAGCTTGTTCCTCACTCTCAAACATTCCCCAGAGGTGCCGGGTCGTGGGGTGGGGGCGGAGGCCCGGGTGCTGGGGGTTCTGCCTGTGTTCTCCTGGTTGACGTGGCCACCGGCCACGGTGAGGGTGGGGAAAGCACGGCAGTGATGTGTCTCAGGAGGAGGGGTTCCGAGACCAGCTGGAGGGCCTGCCCTGAACACCTGCCCGTGGCCCTGCCATCCGGCGGGATCAGGCTCCTGTCCACTTCTAAGGTGTCACACAAGGATCCTGTGGCTGCTGTGACTCCCACCTTAGTGACTGAAAACAAACCTATCTCGCGGTTCTGGGGTCAGAGGTCTGACTCGGTTCTCACGGGGCTAAATCCCGGCGGGCAGTGCCAGCTCCTCCGGGGGCTCTGGGAGAACCGTGTCCCCCTCTTCCAGCTTCTAGAGGTGCCGCAGTCTCACCTCGGGGCCCCTCCTCCATCTGCAAGGCTGGCAGGGCCACGCCTTCCCATCTCTCTGACCCTGAGCTCCTGCCCGCCCACTCCCCTCATAGGGACCCTCGTGAGGAGCCTGGGCCCCGGGACCCCAGCGTCACCCCCATCTCAGGGGCCTTGACTGATCCCCCTACAGGGTCCCTCTGCCTGCCATGCTCTCCAGTCTACCTCGTGCAGCCGGTTTGGGGTGCCCCGTGCCCTCATTTCAGTGGCTTCCATTGCTGTCCCTCTCCCCTCTGTCCATTGGGGAGCTGCGGACCCCTGTCCTTGTCCCTCACGAGCTGCGTTCTCTCGCTGCAGGATGCCTGTGGGCTTCCTGGCCTTTGAGCCGCTCTTGCAGCTCCGTCCCCTGCCCGACCCCTCGTGTGTCCCCTGCCCGACCCTCCTGTGTCCCCTGCCTGACCCTCCTGTGTCCCCTGCCGTCCCCCTCTGGCTGAGTCTCCAAATCTGCTTCTTCCCCGGCTGTTTCTGGAGCTTGTCTCTGCACCTTCCTGCCTGGGGCTGCCACTGTACGGGGAGCAGATGAGCTCAGCGGGAGCCTGAACGTTGGTTCCCCAGGCCTGCGCCCTCCTGAGTGGTGTCTAGAGGGTCCCTGAGGTGCTGTCTTGGGGCCCCCAGGAGCACCCCAGGAGCACCCCAGGGACAGGATTCTCCGGGAGGACTCCGGGCCTCAGTGTACGGCGGTCCTCAGGGCTGTGGTTTATACCGGGAAAGAACAGGAGGCAAATGAGCCCAGGCGGGGGGCCCAGGTCCCACAGGACCTGAGGGCACGTGAGGGGGTCCCTGGGGGCGCACAAGGGGTTTCCAGGGGGACCAGGGCCCAGAGTAAACGTGTCTGTACAGACAGACCGGGGCACAAGCCCCCAGCGTCGTTCCTTGCAGGCCACCCTTGTCGGGGATGTGGCCTCAGGCCTGCCCCACGAGCTCTCTCCTGCCCGGTGCCCCCTGGCTACCCCGGTCTCCATAGTGGTCAGGGACTGTGGGCCTTCCCCCAGCTGGAAGGAGGGGAACTTGAGGCCGAGCAGGCTGTAACACAGCTGCCCCACCAGCTGGTGGCCTTGGGCCAGGGGTGGTTCAGAAGGGGTTTCATCTCTGTAAGGCTGTGGGGGTGGGGCCTGATCCCTGCCCCCCATGCGGGTGCTCCTGCTGGGGTGCCACCCACCCACCCTGCAGATGAGGACTCGGCCCATGCAGCCCAGATGGGGTGGGGTTGGGGTGAGGTGGGTGGAGGGATCGCTGGGCCCTAGGCCTCCTGGGCTGGGAGCTGGGAGTCAGGGTGCTGCATTCGCCCGTGCAGTCCAGCCCAGGGCTCCCCCGACCACCCTCAGGGCCCCGGGTGCTGCTGGGCCCCAGCTCAGCACAGGGGTGGGCTCCCACATGGGTGGGCCTCCTGGGTTGAGAGCAGGAACAGGTTTTCTTCCCGCATAGACTGGTCATTGTGCCCCGACACTGGCTCCCAGCCCTGTGTCCTATGGATCTGTTGCTGCAGATACTCAGCGTCTCCTGGGGAGACGCTGCCTTGTGCCTCCGAGGGAAGAGGGCCTTCGTGTGTCTGGCGGGGAACCACGGCACTCCCACCCGGACAGCCACGGGGATTCCCCACTGTCCGCATCTCCCTGACCAGGCTGCGTTGGGCTGCTCTGGGGTGTGAGCGAGCTGCGGGGAGGACACAGCGCCACAGCCACCTGGGCCCCGTGCTTGCCAGAGGCGTGCGCGGAGCAGCGTCCCGGCCACAGGCTGCTTGGGTCCCCGCCCCCAACAGCAGCCTTTTCTGGTTCAGGCTGATTGAATCTCCCGCCAGCCCAGCTGGTTGAGTCACACCCCCAGTGAGGCCTGCGGTTCAGGGCCTGGTGTCTGAGCCTTGCCAGCCCGCCTCGCCTTGCCCTTCCTGCAAGGAGCAGGTCCCACTGCCCTGAGTTCCTGGGCCGGGTTTCCAGAGGAATGGCTTGCTGAGATCCTCGTCACAGACCTAAGGCACCCTTTCAGGTGGACAGTTCACATTTAGCACAAGGTTGTACACCCACTGCCTCTGTTGAGAGCATTCCATTCCCCAAAGCAGCCCTGTCTTCACGAGCAGTCCCACCCTCCCCAGCACCTGGCCCCACAAACCCATGCTCTGTCCGCAGCTCCGCCTGTTGTGGACGTTCCGTAGAAACAGGGTCACACTGTGCGGCCTTGTGTGTCTGGCGTCTCACTGAGCACCATGTGTTCAGGTCCTGCTCACGTATGGCTCGTGGCAGGGCTCCGCTCATGGCTGCGTGATGCTCTGCAGGCAGTTGGGCATCTGGGTCCCCCTCTGCTGCCGTGGTAGTCGTGCTATTAGGAAATGCCCGGGGGTGTCCTTTCCCTGCAGGCACACCTGGTGGGGTGGCTGGGTAATGGGTAACCATCTAGATCTGCAGTCTGCCAGGCGCCCGTGGGTTTTGTGGCCTTTGCCTATTCTGTCTGTCCCCGTTCTGCCCTGAGGCACCCCTGAGTGGCCTTGGGGAACCAACTGGTGGCCCCTGGTCCCCGCCCAGCGTCTGCCCTCTGTGTGCAGGCCTGTGTCCGTCCCCACTGCATACCTCAGCCTCAGGTGCGGTGGGTGCACCAGGCTCCTTCATGTCTGCTGTGGCCAGCAGAGGCCAGTTTACCATCCACCGCTTCTAGAGCCAGTCCACGTCTCCCTGGGTCCCAGTGGTACTGCTTTGGGGAACGGGCAGCCACCCGTTCATCCCCAGCCTGCAGAGAGGTGGGTGCCATGGACAGGCTCCTAGGCCTGCATGTCCACCTGTGGGTGCATTCACTTGCCGGGACACCACAAGCCTTGGCTGGGCCCCCACCCTCCCGGCCCCCTGTCCCAGGGCCCCAGGTCTGGGGGTAGGATATTCATCTCCAGAGCGATGCCCTGGTAGACCCAGCACTTTCTGCCTTCTGGGGGCCTCTGGCCCACAGGACAATGCCAGCTGTCTGCCCAGCCCTCCTGGTGCCCACTGAGCCCTCTGACTGCTCAGTGTGGGCTTGGCACCTGCTTTCCCTCCAGCCTGAATACCCAGCCAAGTCTCCCCTCTCCAGTGGCTTCCCTGGCTGCGCCCTGGGCTGAGTGGGACAGGTGGCAAGTTATCCCCAGTGCCAGGTTCATCGTCAGGTCCCCAGCACAGAATGCACCTGCTGTCCCTGTGGTCCTCTGGCTCGACCCCTGCGTGCATTCAGAAGGCAGCACGCAGGCCCCCTCCTCGGTCAGAGCACAGCAGCCCCCTAAACTTCTTATGAGAAACCTCTGTGTGCAGGTGAGAGCACCAGTGCCTGAGCTGAGAAAGCGGGGGACGGACAGGAAGACAGGTGGCCTCTCGAGAGACGCTGCTCCACGTCACGTGACGGGGATGCCCTTAAACGGAGCCCTAAGGCACTGTCTCGGCCTGGGGGTTGAGGGGCAGCCCTCCCATGGGTGCCTGGACGCAGCCCAAGCGAGTGCCTGTAGTGCACAGGGAACATGGCCACATGGAGGGGTCCTGGAACAGAAAGAGCACACGCGTGGTTTAGGTCACTGGGACGTAGTGGTGCTCATTTCCCATGTGTCACATACTCTAAAGTCCCCGGAATTGGGAACTCTGTGATTTCATTAGCTGTTAAGGAAGAACATCTCATACATACAGTATTTCACGCCTGCCCCTCCCAGAAGCTGGTGCAGACAGCAAGGTGGTGGCTCTTCGTGTGAGGACAGACGGCGTTGGGGGTTCAGAGGACCTTGTGCCAAGTGATCGTTAACTTCTCCCGCCCCCCCCCCACCCGGTTTTTCTGGCATCTCCTTAGCAGCCCGTGTGGGGCTCGCTGTGTCTGTTTATTCTGTCGCTCCCAGCCAGTGGACACAGGTTCTCCTAGCTTCTCGTTACCATGAACAGTTGCTGAAGCATAAATTCTCAGCAGGAGAGTAGCTGAGGTAAAAGGGATGAGCGCACCGTTGCCCTGCAGAAGGGCAGGTCCACTCCCCGCGCCGCCGGCCGCTCTCCTGGTGGGTGGCGCTGGTGGTTCTTGCTGGAATCGCTAGTCGTTTATCCTTGCTGACCTGCTGGGGCCCGGTACCTGTGGAGGACAGCAGGCCTTGTCCAGCGGACGGGCTGGCGGCCACCGCGCTCTCTCGCCCCTTGCAGTGGCTGGCTGGCCGCGATCGGCTTCTTCCAGACCAGTGTCGGGGCTGCCGTGCTCATGCTGCTCCCGGCCCTCATGTTCTCCGCGTCGGCTGCCATGATGGCCGTCGCGATCATAAAGGTGGGTTCTCTTGGTCCTGGGGCAGCCCTGCCACCTTCCATGCATCCTGTCGCATTCTTCCCTGCCCCGGGGGCTTGTCTGTCCCCATTGTACAATTCAGAGAGTGTCAGTAGGGAGGGCCTGCAGCTTTCCAGGGAGGGAACACCACAGCTGGTGGGGGTGCCGCCACAGAGCCCCCGGCACGTGTCCCAGGGTGTCCACACTGCCGATTCAGCCCCTTGTTGCCACTTACAGTTAAATTCAAAATAAGCAAAATTGAGTAAAACTGAAAGGACGTTATCGTGCCCACCTCCTGAGCTCAGTGGCCCTGTTGGCCCGCATGGGGCTGACCATGTCCACCGTCACGGCAAGGACCTTGGACGGCAATGCTCCACGCATCCAGCTTGTCCAGCAGGGTCGGGCAGGTCACGCAGGCCGCGCGCCCAGCACAGACCGCGGTCCCCGACTCCAGAGGAAAGCAGGTGCCCAGTGTGAACATGTCTGCATAGGTGGTTAAGGGGCACAAGCCCCGGGTCAGGGCGGTGGGAGCCCTGGTCCCAGGTCCTGCCAAGGGCAGCCTCTCATACCAGCCTATTTGAGGACAGAAATGTCAGGTCTGCTCTTACCTGCACACCCGTCCCCCGAGGAAGGACAGAGAAACGGGTGTTTAATGAGCAGTTCCAGCAGGAGAAAGACAGTGTTCAGCTTCAACAGCTGAAAGCATCACGTAAACAAAATGCATGTTTTCACTTACTGAATATGCTAGTATTTCTAGAAATAGTACGGCCTGGTGTTCCTGGAGGTGCCTCAGGCAGCTGGTGTAGCCCTCCAGGCAGTAGGGTCTCTGCTGAGGAAAGGCCCACTCGCACCGAGAGGTGACTTGTGACGCGTGTGGTGCATGTCAGGTGGGCAGCCCACAGAGAGCGGCAGGATGAGCCCCTTCCCACAGAAGAAGCCCTGTGGCTGCACACCAGCTCGCTGGCGGCAGCATTGACCCCGAGAGGCCCCCCGGGATCTGCAGTTCAGGGAGGCCCCTCCGAGGTCATCCTGACCTCCGCACCTCCCTCGGAGCACATGGGAGCGGGCCTCTATTATGCTGATGACCTGACCTCTCTCCCCCACCTGCTGCCCACAGGTGCACAGGATCTACCGCGGGGGGGGCGGAAGCTTCCAGAAGGCGCAGACTGAGTGGAGCACAGGCACCTGGCGGAACCCACCTTCTCGGGAGGCCCAGTACAACAATTTTTCGGGGAACAGCCTGCCAGAGTACCCCACTGTGCCCAGCTACCCGGGCACCGGCAGCCAGTGGCCTTAGAGGGAGCCAAGGGGTCCCACGGGTCCCACTACCCACCCGCCGCCTCCCTGTCCACTCCCGGTCCCGAAGCATCTGTCCCCTGTCCGTCCCTGGTGGTGGCTGGGCCCTCTCCCAGCTGGCCCAGTGGAAAGGTTTGGTGGCTGTCCAGGGTGCCCTCAGGTGGGACACTGGACCTCAGGCACTCTTGGCCTCCTGGTGAGCACTGCCCAGAGGCTGTGTGGCCTTGCTGTCCAGCAGGACGACACCCCTCTTGCTCCCCAAAAACGTTTGGTATTCTGACGCCCCTGGCATGGCCCTGAGGAGAAGACGGCAGGAGGCCAGCTGGCTCCTCGGAGCTGAGGATGTGGAGGCAGCTCTGGTGGGGCAGTCGCCCTCCGCCTGGGTTCTCGTCCCCACAGGCAGTGAAGGGACGCGGTGTGCAGCCAGGTGCTCCCTGCCTCTGTCCCTGAGTCCCCATCCGCCCTCACTGGAGGGCTTCTGCACGAGCCTGCAGGGTCAGCCGGAGGCGGGTTTGCTGCCGTGACACCCAGATCTGAGCTCCGTCTGCCTGTCCCTCCTGTCAGCCTGCCCCTGCATCCTGGTGGCTCCTTGCTGCCCTTTGCCAGCTTGCCCTCCCTCCCTGCCCACAGTCACTTCTTTGTGACCAAAATTTCCAAATTCCAGTGGCCCGGGCATTCTAAAGTCCTGGGAGCCTCGGCAGGGCCTGTCTTGACATCCATCTCCAGCCAAGACGTGGGATGGAGTCCTTTGAGGCGGGGGAGGGGTTGTCAGCTTCTGCACCAGGCGGACAAAAACAGGTGGTGTGTCAGGGCGGCACAGCAGCATTCAGCGCCTGCCCTGGCCATGTGCCAGCCAGCTCGGGACCTGCGGCCCTGCTGGAGGCAGGTGGTTGGGTTTCTCAGGAGAACGGCCTGTCAGAAGGAAGCATGGGGCAAATCTGTGCCTTAGTGAGACATCAAGACAGCCTATACTTCTCTTCCCCTCCGGTTCTAGCTCCTTCCCAGACAAAGCGTACACCCTGTGGTGGCCTCCCGTCACCTTGTGGATGGTAGGGCCAGAGGAGGCCGTGCAGCTTGCTGGCCAGGTCTCCAGTGCTGTCCTCGCAGGACAGGCCCCATTCCCTGGAATGCCCAGGTCTCCAGGAGCCCCTGGGTGGCCACGGGATGTCCTCCACGCTCACCCTTGTTTGCTTTGGCCACGTGTGCGCAGTGCCCTGTAGTGTTGAAGGTGGCCATGACCCCCTGGACAGAAGGCCAAGCCTTGGAGGCCCTGGCGCCCCTGTGACGTCCCCAGGCCAGCCTCCTGGTCACTGTGGGGCTGGATCTCGTGATGGTTTTACCACTGATGGTGACAGCTGTGAACCAGGTGGAGGAACGCGTGTGGACCTTGTGCCCCGCTCAACGTGGCTCTTAGTTACGTTGGTGGTTTTGTTACATGGAAATAGCCTGTAAATAAACACATCTTTTCTGCATTCCTTTGTGTGGGCCCCACCTGGACCTTCCTCCCAACCCAGTACACGTGGCCTCTGGCAGGGCTAAGACCAGGGCCAGCCTGCCCCTGTGGTGGCCCAGTGTCCAGCCTCACTGCTGGGCCACCCCCGTGGGCAGCTAGGCAGCCTCACTCTCGGGCCACGGCCCTGTGCCACCACTGTAGTTTTGTGCATCTTTCAAATTAACTGGGTTTCTTCATATTCATCAGCTTTTGTTTGGAAAAGGAGATTCACAGAAAATGAAGACCAGTGTTGCTTGCCATCAGAGAAAAGTAATGGCAGCAGGGGGCAGGGGTGCTGGAACAGCAACAGGGTGGGCTTCCAGAGGCTCCGGGGCTCCTGGTGGCCTGTTGGTGGCGCCGAGTGCACACCTGAGGACGCAGGCAGGAGGGTGCTGTCTTGCTCCAGGGGAACCAGGCAGCCCAAAGCAGGTGGCTCAGGTGCCCTCAACCCCGTTCTCAGGCTGCAGTCCTGACCTCGGGATCTTTGGCGGGACTGTATTTAAGGATATTGCAGGTGTAATGAGCTAAGGTGAGGTCACACTGGAGCAGGGGCCCTAATCCAACAGGACTGGAGCCCTTAGGGGACATGTCGACACAGCACATGGGGAGGTCACAGAGCCAGGGATGGGGTGGAGCTTCTGCAGCCTACGGATGCCCCTGTGTCTGCCAGCCAGCTTCCCCCACAGCCGAGAGTCGTTCCCACTGCTCTTCATGTCTGTCGATGCCTCAGCTGAAGGGACCAGGCGCCACCAGGTGTTCCAGCATGGCCAGCTCTTTGGAATTTATTTTCCAGAGTAAGTTATTACAGAAACTTACCAGATGCCCATGGTATTGATGGGTGGCTGGGGGCTCTGAATCAGACCCTGACCAGGAGCAAACCCGTGAGGACTGAGGTGTGAGCGGCACGTCCACATGCCGAGCGTGCCGTGGGGCGGAGGGACGGCCCATGGCCTTTCCCTCAGCGTGAGCCGGCTCGTTACCATCATGCGCTCCAGATTCCAGACCCCAGGAAGGACCGTCTGGGAGCCACATCCCCTGGGAGGACTGACAGCCCCACAGACAGGGTGGCTCAAAACGGCAGAGATTTTCTCCCTGCCTGCTCTGGAGGCTGGACGTGGAGAGCACAGCATCAGCAGGGCTGGGTTCCTCGGTTCCGGCGCTCTCCTGCCGGCCAGGCAGCCCTTGGCATCCCGGGGCTCGTAGGTGCACCACTTGAATCTGTTGTCACCACTTGACTCTTTCCCTGTGTGTGTCCACATGTCCCTCTTTTATGAGGACACCAGTCCTTGGATTAGGGCCACCCTACTCCAGGGTGACCTCTTTTTAACTTAGAGCTGCAGAGACCCTATTTCCAAACTGCCCACATTCCCAGAGACCAGGGCTCAGGACTTCAGCATATCTTTTTGGGGACTGTGATTCACCCCACAACAGTGGTGAAATCTGGGTCCACATCTCTGAGTTTCCTGGGGCTGCTGTAATAATAGTGCCACAAACTGAGTGGCAGGACAACTGATCCTCTTACATCCTGGAGATGGTTAGTGAGGTCCAGGTGAGGCAGGGCGTCTTGCCTCTCCCAGCTTCTGGGGCTCTTGTGTTGGCTTGACTTGTGGCTGCCCCCCCACCCCCCCCCACACCCAGTCTCTGCTTCTGTCTTCATGTGTCCCACTGGGTTAGGGCCACCTGACCCCAGTATGATCTCATCTGAGCTTAATTACATTTGCAGATTAGCTATTCCCAGAGGGACGTGAATTCTGGGGGGGATGCTATTCAGCCCTCTACCCTGCCCAGGCCTTGGCCTCCGAGAGCAGGGGGTAAGGAGCGCAGCAGCGCCACAGGAAGATCTGATCAGCTCGCTTGGCCAGAGGTGGCCAGGCTGTCACATGGCACAGACCCGGTTGCTGGGGTTGGGGGTCTGTTCTCAGGATGGGAGACCCCCAGGAGCTTCTGCACTGTCCAGGCCTGGGTTTCTTCTGGGCTGTGCCTCACTGTCTCTCCGTGGGCCTTTTGGCTCAGTTCCCCACCGCCCATAGCTCACACTGTCCAAAGAGGATTTTGACATGTTCCAAACACGTGCGAGCATGTGGGGCAGGGCCTGGCCTAGTGCCGAGCATCCTGCCCCACAGCTGGAGTTGGCACTACACACTGGTGATGGGCAGCAGCGTTGGCGATGCAAAGCCAGGGGATAGTAGGCAGGTCACTCTGCCCTGGTAAACCTGTTTCCACACTAGAAAATGGGAATGTGGGTGCCCAAGTCCCTGCCCCATGGCAGGAGAGGCCTCCCCTTGCAGGGAGTGCTAGTTCGATCCCGCAAGTGACCCGGGGCACCTGATTACGCCTGTGTGCTGGCGCTGGACACCAGGACTACGCAGCCCTGTTCCTGTCCTGGGGTCTCCAAGGAGGTGATGACAGACCTGCTTCTTACGAGAGCACAGGAACAAACAGAAGGGGGCGCTTCGTGCCCTGTGCCTCCCAGAAACGCACAGCTGTTTGGGATTTATGGGGAGGCTGGGATACTGTGACATTCTGGTGGGGCTGGAGGGGGTGGAGTGGGCATGGGGAGGCCAGCTCATCCCTACAGTGTTCTTTATTGAATGCACCAAGGGGGCTGTCACCCACCCCAGCTTTCCAGATGGTGTCCCCATGATCAAAGCCAAAAGAAAGCAGAACGTGTGGACCACATTTGAAGAGGGTTAAAAACGAGGAAGCACTAAAGGCCCTTTGGTCTTTCAAAGATCCCAAATGATTAGAGAGAACTATGTTCATTCGAGGCAGAAAGCCCTAGGCTGGCAGTTCTTTATTCATTATGCATTCCCGCAGTATACCCTGTGGGGCTGTCATTAGTCTTAAGATGAAGCAGCAGAGGCCCAGAAAGGGTCAATGACCTAACCATAGTCACACAGCCTGTGCTGGCACAACCCCAGACCTGGCCTCCCCCTTTCTGCGTTTCAGCCACATGAGCTACCCTGCCTTTCAAAGGACAAGGCTGGAGCTGGGGTTTAAGGCTCAAACACCTTAGGAGAGGCCACCATGCTCCCTGCCACCCTGGGAGTTAAGTGCCTCAGAAGATTTTCCTGAACCTCGAGTGGGAGAGAAGCTGAGAGATTGGGCCTGGTTGACTGAGGAACTAAAGCGAGACTTCTCCAGAATCTGGGACGAGCGTATAGAGTTCGTTCACTCATCATTTACCACCCACGGTGACCGCACTGAGTGCCTACTGTGTGCGCGGGCAGAGCATTGAACAAAGCAGACACGGACCCAGCCTGGCACAGCTGGTGGAGGACGCTGACTTTAGACAAGCACAGTCGTTTATGGTAAGGCTCTGGTTGGTGAGGGTCAGGATGCCAGCAGAAAGGACACCAGGGGATGTGTCTTGGGATTCCTGGAGGAAGTGACACTGGAGGTGGGACTGCGGAAGGGTGGGGTGCAGGGCTGGGCCCCTTACCCTGGGGCCCCCCAGCTGTTCCACTTCCTCGGGACCCCTCCTCACTTTCCCGTGCCCACCTGGCTACTGACAGGACCATCATCAGGGACCTCGGGCTCTTCCTGGCGTCTGACCACGTCTAGCTTTTAGCCTTTCGGGTCCGGCCCTCCGCCAGTGCCCCAGGCCACATGGAACCCCATCTGAAGCCATCGTCTCCAGTTATTGTGTCCTGCCCCCAAGCCCCCCCTCCCGGGACAGAGGGCCCCGGAGGCCGTGCCAAAAGTCCAGCTCACCATCCTCGTCTCAGAGCCACTGGCGGGCACTGAGCAGACGCGGGAGCGGAGGCGTCTCCACCCACGTGAAGAGGCTTCCTGGGTGGGGCGGCGGTGCCGGGTGCGGGGCCCGTGGGCAGCAGTCCCTAAATTTCCTGGGCGCGACAAGTGGGCTGGCAGCGGCGCATGGGCCGGAGGCCCTGGGAGGCCTCGGCAGACTCGACCCGCGCCAACGCCGCTCCGACGCGTACCCACGCGCCAGGACCCCCAACCCGCCACCCAAGCCCCGGCCGCGCGGCCCCGCCCCGGAAGTTTCCGTCCCAGCCTTGACCACGCCCCGCGGCGCCGCCCGGCCGTGACGGCAGGTGGCGAGACTGTGACGCCACCGAAGCTCAGCGGGGCAGCCAGCCACGCGTCGCCATGGCGACGGTGGGCGTGCCCGGGCTGGCAGCAAGAGCCCCGCCCCCCGGAGGGTGGAGGAGACCCAGCTCCCTCCCCTCGCGCGCGCCTAGGCAATCGCGCGCCTCCGACGGCCCCGTGAGCAGCCACCTACCCACCTCGGAGCGGCCGCAAAGCGCGGCGGCCGTCGTACAGAGCCGCCCGGGGGCTCAAGGCCCGCCCCGCGCTGTGACGTCATGCGGCGCGGCCGACCGGCGCCTGCGCAGTGGGCGCGGCTTCCCTGACGCCGGGCGTGAGCGCGGGCCGCGGGCGACGCTGAGAGACGGGCGAGCCGGGCGCCCGCGCGGCGGGGACGGCCCGCGCCGACATGCGGAGGCCGGCGGCGCGGGAGCGGGAGAGGGGGCCCGAGCGGGCGCCGGAGCCGCACTCGAAGAGCGAGCGGGGCCCGGAGCGAGGTCCCGCGCCGCGCCGCTGAGGAGCCCGGCCGCTGCCCGCCAGCCTCGGGCCACGGCCACGGACGCGGCGGAGGCCGAGAGGTAACGACTCGCGCGCTCCCGCGCCAGCCGCCCCGACCGCGCGCCTGAGCCCACCCCGCTGTTCCCGCGCCCCGGACCTCGCCGCCTCTACAGCCCGCGGACCCCGCGCCCCCACACCCCGGATTCGCGGGCCCCTCCACCACCCCCGGACCCCGCGCCCCGGATCGCCGGACTCCCTGCAGGCCCTGGACCCGCGCACCTCACCGCCCCTAAACCCCGCTGACCCTGCGGCCCAGACCCTCCTAACCTGCACCCGCCAGTGATCCCGCACGCCAACCCTGGTCCCCCTGCACCTTGCTGACTCCCACACTGTAGACCCCAACTCCTGACCCCCGCCCTCTTGCACTCCAGACCTTGACCCCCACCACCAAGTCACACCCTTCCACCTCTCATCCCCTCCGGTCCCCACACTAAAGACCGTTATCCCGCACGAATTCCTCCAATATCCTGCCGTCCCTACTGTCCCCTTGGCCCCACTCCACGTCTTCCTTTGTTTCCCCCAAGCCCAAGCCCTCTGCCGACCCCCCTTGTCCCCGAACCCTCCAGCGCTCACCCCTGGGTCCCTACCCCTGTCCACCTGTCCATCTCCCCTCCGCACGCCGGCACACCCGCTCCCTGCCTGTGGGCAGGGGCCTTCATCAGGAGGGGTCTCCTCGGGGGCGACCTGGTGCCTGGCGCGGCTTAGGGGTTCCCAGCTCTCGGCCTGGCTGCGCCCTCCCCCTTCCGCCCTCGCCACCAGCTTTGTTTTCCGGAAACACTTCGGATCTGGGAGGGGGGGGGGTGAGCTGCCGGTGGCCCCAAGCCCCAGCCACACTGGTCCCCTCCCTGCCCTGCTCCCCTTTGCCCAGCTTTCTGGGGAAGCTTTCATGTGAGGGGCTGGGGAGTCTTAGAAGATGCCTGGCAGTGACGTCTAGGCTGTCGGCCTAGGCAGGCTGCGGGGTGGCTGGGTTATCCCCTTGGCCTCCGGATGGCATTGTCTTCAGGAAACAGCCCAGGCGTAGGTGGAGCCCAGAATTTTTCCCTAGTCCCTCCAGAGAGGGACCCAGGCCTGTCCAGTGTCTGGGCCTCGGGGATGTTCACATGCCATCCTGTGGGGCTCCTGGCCCTCCAACACAGACAGGCTCAGTCGGTGCTTCCTGGCCCCTGTAGTTGGTAGGTGTGAGAGGGTGGAAAGCAGAGGCTCCAGTGCAGGGGGAAAGCGGCCGCCGGGGACTTCCTCGGACTGGGAGGGGTTCCCTGTGAGGAGAGCGGGTGGGAGCCGGCCCCCAGGTGGGGAGGGGGAAGCTTGCGGCGGGCACCAGTAGTTTGTTTCTGTTTTTCGCTTGTGTCTCCACACTCTGGGCTCTGGGGCGGGGGCTTCCTGCAGTGCCCCCAGGAGCACACTCAGGCCTGTTCACTCCCCCTCGCCTCTCCTGGGCCCCACATGTTTTGTTTGCCCCCTTCTGGTGTCCATGGGCCTGTTGTTGGGGGTGGCTGGGGGCCCAGGGGGAGGGCCAGGGCCTGGGCTAGGGAGCCGGTTGTATCAGCTGCATTGGGCAGATGGAGATACGGCTGGCGGTTGGGTGGGGGGGTTCCGCAAGGAGCTGGCGGGATCCCTCCAAATCCCCACAGCCCACCCTGCAAGCAATGGGCAAACCCCCTGGGGCTCTGCATTGGCCACTGCCTGGGCCTGCTTTCTGACTGCACTTGGAGCCTTGTCGTGTGAAGTGGCTTCTTGTCTGACTTGGATTTTCGCTGATGTCTGTGAGGAGGCGTGGGGACAGCAGCTGATACTGGCTCTGGGAGCCCCGTGCTCTGAGGACAGACCCTGCACAGACTCACTCCTCTGAGCTGCTGGTTCGACCCCGTCTGCCTTCCCTCATCCTTTTTACTATCTGTCAGTTACCTCTGGGTTGCATGAGGAAACGTGAGGTTTTCTTAAAATCAAAACCCTTCCTCTCTGCTCATTCCAGCCTTGGGGAAGCCAGCACGCCCGATGTTTGGGAGGAAAGGTGGCCAGGGCCACTTGCATCCAAGGGGGTTTACAGGTGGGTCTGAGCAAGCTCTTGGGCAGGCCTGTGTGCCCCCACCCTCCCAGTCACCACAAGACCATACTTAGAGACGACTGTGGGGACACCCAGTAACGTCTTCCCCATTGACTTTGCTGCCCCTCCTGAGTCCTCACAGAGCTGCCCCAGGCTGCCTTAGGAGCCATGGGGTCCCTCATACTGGATGTGGGGGTCAGGTCCCTGTCTTGGCAGCTGTCTCCCAGGGGCAGGCAGAAGGCCTGGGGGCGCAGTTCAACCAAGGTGCCAGCCCTAGGTCTCCGGGGTTGTTGGGTGGGTTGGCCACTTGTGCTTTGCCCTGAGTGGGAGACGGGCCCTGGGAAGGAGCCCAGGCATGCAGGTTGGGGCTGTGGTTGGTCTTGTGTCGCCAGGGTGCAGTGACTGCACTCACCCAGTGGAGGCCTTGCTGTTTCCTCCAGGTGGTGGACGCGCTGGGGCAGGTCCAGCCTGCACTGGGGCCGGTCCAGCCTGCGCTCGGGGAATGCTCCAAAGGTTGTGTCTCTCCGTGCTGCGCTCTGGGTTGCCAGGGAGGGGGTGGGGCCCAGGTCTGGTTGGGCTGGAAAGCCCCGCCTCTGACACTCCACATCTGCCCCCCAGTTTGGGAGCCTTGGAGGGCCTGTGACATTCCACAGATGAGGAAGTTGAGGCCTGAGGCTTTGCTCTTAAAGCTCTAATGATGGCCACTCTGTGCCCTGGGAACAGCCCTGGCATGGGAGTGGGGATCCCGGTGACCGGTGGCTCTCAGCACCTGCTTGCCTACTGCCCTATCCCGCAGTGGCAGCACCTTCTGCATGATCTCCTGGTCCTGCACCCGCCTGGTAGGCCGAGGGCCATGGAGAGCCGTGCACCACTTCCTGGCTCGGGAATCATGCCCCGCCCTGCCTGCAGGAGTGGTCCCCACTCAAGGTCCCTGCTCCAGAAGGCCTTGCGTGTGCTCTGCTCACTCAGGGCAGCACACAGCCACTCCTCAGAACCCCCACCCAGAGGCACCCCTGGCAGGTGTTTCTCTTCTGGAGCTCAGAGGCGTCCTAGGGGAGGCCGCGTGTGCTTGCAAGCGCTCCCTTGGGCAGGTATCAGCAGTCGGTGACTAGCGCACCAGACCTGTGGTGCAAAGCCTGCTCTTAGGTCCAATGAGCTGTGTGGATGGAGGCAGCTGCGAGGACCCTGGGGCAGGTCTGTGCAGGTGGCCCAGCTGAGGTCCCGCAGTGTGGACCAGGCGCAGACGTGCTGTGGTCCCACGCTACCCTGTGTCGGTCATGCTCCCTTCTGGGGTCCACGGCAGGAAGCTGCCTGTGCTATGGGGTCTACAGGCCCATGGGTCGCCTCCATAGCTGGTAGGCAGGGTGCTTGGGAGGGCCCCTCTCCTTGTCCACAGAGAGCGGTGAGCCCTACCCCTAGACCCTCTGCTGTCCCGTCTCCAAAGCTGGGGGCCCTCTCATGCCCCAGGCCCAGCTTCCTGTCCCACAGCTGCTCTGGTACCAGCTTGAGGGTGGTGACAGGTGTTTTGGAGGCATGGGTGCTCAGATCTCCCAGGGTGCTGGCCTCTGGCCCTTCGGAACAGACTTGGCTACATGGGGAGCTGGCAACACACAGTGGACATGGTTGAACGCGAGAAGCAGCAGCTGAGGTTCCTTTTACTTAAGTCAGTGTGTCCGTGGCAGCCGCTCAGCCCTGTGGTTGGGGTGAGAGTACTGCTGGGATGCTGAGGTGTATGTCAAACACGTGGCGCACCGTCACATGGGAGCTAAGTTTTCATTAGAATTACTCTGAGAAACACACAGAGTTGAGTAGAAAACATGGCCCTTGCCACCAGGGGCTTCTGCTGAGGACTTGCTGGCTTGGCTCTGCCAGGGCTGCAGTGTCAGAGAAGCAACTGAAAATGCTTATTAGCAGTAGGTCCCGGGACCCACTTACGCCAAAGGTTGTTCATTGCTCATCTGAAGTTCAGCATTACCCTGGGTGCCCTGTGCATTACCCGCTGCATCTGGCCCCCCTAGACTGGCGTCAGGCCACATAACCAGGAAAGGGCTGGGTGGGGCTGCGGCGGGGCGGTGGGGGCCATTCTGCCTCCAGGATGGCCTTGTGGGGCTAGAGTCGGGGTGCTGCCTGTTCACGAGGCCCAGACCGACTGCTCTGTGGCATCTGGCCAGAGGCAGGGTCCCTCCAGTTCTTTCACCGTCGCCAGTGCTGCCTGGCCCACGGTTTTGGGGGGCAGCCTCCCAAGCATCCTGGGCCAGGTCTGGAAGGCACTGGGGCCTGAGGTCGTGGGGGGCCTGCGAGCTCCATGCTGCTCTGCCTGCTGCCAGGCTGCCGTCTGCCTTGTGCTTCGTGTGGACACCCCTCTTGGTGCTTCTGAAATGCGGTCGGGCCATGTCTGTCGTGGAAGCCTGCCAAACACCCCACTGCAGGACGTGTGGCCGGCCGCGGCCGCCTTGTGTGTCAGACTGTGGTCTGCATGGGGGAGCCCCGTCCTCCAAGTCCTCTTGCATGGCTTTGCTGAGGTACCACACTCCCCGTTCTTGGAGATACAGCTCACAGACCGTGAGACTCCCCAAGGGCTGTGCCGTCACAGTGTTGTGTAACCAGCACTTCTAGTTCCAGAACGTTCCCTTTGGCCGTCCCGGCACCCAGGAGCCCATGTTCTGTTGGTGGATCCGCCTGTTGTGGACGTGTCACAGAAAAGGGGTCACACCCTGTGGCCGATGTGGCGTCTCACTGAGCACGTGTGGCCAGAGTCCGTCTATGTGTGGCATGTGGCAGGGCATCCCTGCTCCTCGTGGCTGCATGGTGCTCTGCATGTGGACGGACATGAGTGTGTCCGCTCATCAGCTGATGGACACCTGGGCCCTGTCTGCCTTTTGGCCCCCGTGACCCGTACTGCTGCGGACCCATGCGTGGGACTCGGGTTCCCTGGATGCGAACCGGGCGGTCCTGCACTGAACCGATTGAGGGGTC